GGAGATTCCCCTAAAAGGTTATATATGTACATGAGTGAGGAGGAAAAGCAATTTAGAGGGGAGGGGGAGCAATCAGCCGTTGTCTGTGGAGTTGAGCACTTCTTCTCTCATTTTATCAATCGCCTTGAAAATTTTTTAATATTTATAAACAAATGTTTTATCCAGTAGGAGAGTAGTAAAAATTTTATATACATGTTGTTCATTATAGTGAGTTAGTCCCGAAATTTCGTGAATTTTCAGTCTCTTTTCCTGTAGGAATGGGCAATGGAATAGATAATGGACCAAATTGTCTTGGAGGTAGAATGACACCATAAAGTAGATTTTGGTGTGATCTTAGGTGTTAAGCATACAAGACAACTTCGTACAACTGTGTTCACAGTTTGGCTAAAACTCCATTGATTGCAGATTACATTGAAGTAAAAAATATGAAATTTGACTTGAATAACTTATCATTCGATGACAAGCAAAAATACAACATCGATATTCCCTTTATAATTAAACTAGACGAATGGCCCGGGCAACGCCCGGGTTTTACCCGAGTGCGTATATATTTTAAAAACGTTTTAATTCAAATACTATTCGTTACAATTATAAATTGGCGCCATGGGTGTCACTCTTGTGAAACGTCCCGTTCCAAACTGTGTGTTTTTAAAATGTTTTAATTAAAATACTATTCGTTACAATTATAAATTGGCGCCGTGGATGTCTCTCTTGTGAAACGTCCCGCCCCAAACTGTGTGTGTCTTGAAAATATAAAAATAAAAATGTGAATTTTCATAAAGATTTCATCATGTCGATTTTTTTTTTTTTGCATTTCACCTACTAAATCGATAGAGATAATTACATTTGCAACATGAACTTAGGTATATTGACTAAATAGAAAACTGCATAGTAATAAAGATCATTTTTTAAAGGCACCATATCGTTTTTTTTTTCAATAAAATCGAAACAAAAATTAACGATAAATAACGATAATTGCCTTAAAAAGAAATTGCCTTAGAAAAAAAAAGAAACATTCGCGGTGATTTTGTCTTGCATTCGTTTATACAATTATTATATACGAATGACCCGGGCAACGCCCGGGTTTTACCCGATTAAATGCTTTTATTCAAATACTATTCGTTACAATTATAAATTGGCGCCGTGGATGTCATTCTTGTATAATATACTAGCGGATGTGCCCGGCTTCGCCCGGGTTTTACCCGAGTGAATGTTTGTCTAACGAACATTTGTTAAAACAATTATCTTTAAACTTATAAAACGTACTCGGCTTCGCCCGGGGTTTTACCCGAGTAAAGGTTTGTCTAGCGAACATTTGTTAAAACAATTCTCTAAAAACTTAATAAAAAATAAAAAGATATATTTTGATAATTTGAAACTCGTAAATTTGAATCTCTCGATAAAGTGAACATTTTTTCCCGGTCCCTGTGTGCCTTGTCATCCTGAATTTTGTCTTTCCTAATTTTCTACATTAGAAAATCATAGTTTTATCTAGTGAACATTTTTTCCCGGTCCCTTGAGAAATACTCGATAAGTTGAATAAAATCAATATTAATTGGTTCCCTCGGTAATTGGAAGTTAAAGGAATAGTATCTTCGCCTTGGAATTGTATCATTATTCTTGTCGCAAATAAATTGCCGTGTCATCCTGAGATAATCTTACTTTTGATAAATAATATTTAAGATAACAAACTTAGTGAAAAGAAAACTTGTTATCATCGTCACAATGGGTGCGCTGCTTGCGAGTTAAATCTACAAATCTGCAAATAACTCTAAGGATATTCAAGATATTCATGATATTATTTTTCAAAAACCTTCCCGGTGATATACCTAATGATATTCAAAAATTTCACGGCGATTGGATGTATGGTTTTTGAATCTATAGAGTACAGACAGACATTCAATTTTATATATATATATAGATAATATAAATGAGTTTTAAAAATTGTAAAAAAAAAAATGTTCGGCCGGGAATCGAACCCGGGCCGCCCGTGTGGCAGGCGAGCATTCTACCACTGAACCACCGATGCTTAAAAAAATGGCCATATTTAGGTATTCATTCCATTCCGGATTAGTCCGCGTAAAAAAAAGTTCTTCAAATGAAAAAAAGAAATAGCCAAAAATACTAATCAAAATACAGCCGAAAATTTTCCTCAGGTTTATAAAAAGCGACATGCAAAATTTGGTACCAATTGGTTCAGTAGTTTTTGAGTTTATCGCGAAACAGACAGACAGACAGAAATTGACTTTTATATGACTTTTATATATATATATATATACATATATATATATATATATACGCCGACCGTGCGGCCACGCGTCGCGCGAGCTCCGCGTATTTCGCCTCTCATTCTACTGACTGCCCTTGTTACTCAACTTCAATCATACCATCGGATTCGCCGTAAGACGGGCTTCATCTTGAGCCACATTTAAAGTCATTTCATCAAGTTTGAAATTTTCATCGATTCAATTTTCATAGGTTTGTAAATCTACAAGTTGTAGATTTACAGCATCACCATGGCGACAGCCGGGCCGGCTGCTGCGTCATTATCGTCATCACTCACCTCATTTGCTGGTCGAAAATCACAAATTACATCCTCATCTTCGCAACTACAAACTGAAAAATCTACATATTTAACGCAAGCAGGAGATCTACATGCAAAAATCACTGCCCAAAGACCAATCTTCTCTCAAGAAGAACTCAGAAAATTCGATCAAGATAGAAAGGCGACGTATGAAAGGAGAAGTTCAACGACAAAGTCGACGATACAATTCGTCTCGCTTCCGGACTGTACTGCGGAAGAACACCTAGACGGAATCGCCAAAGTCATAGGCCGACCCAGCATCCACTCCATCGGTAAGATTAATGGTCAAGCCATAGTCTCTTTGGCCGGGGTTGAACAGGCAGAAATGCTGATCAACACTGGCTTTCAAGTCAAAGACAAAACAATATATCCCTACCCGCTCTTTAACATCCCGAAAAAATACATCTTATCCGGGGTAATGCTGTTCATACAAGATGAAGACATTGTGAGAACCCTACAGCCTTATGGACAGGTGTTGAGCGTCCGACCCCTCCCCTTCCCCACCGACAATCCTCTATACAAGCACCTCTCCTCTTTGAGGAGAGAGATCATCTTCAAAAAGAAGGAAGACACTGCCATGCCAGCTATCATCACCATCGACTACATGGGCAACAACTTTAAAATCTTTATTGCCGAAGATGTCATTTGCGTGGGCTGCAAACGACATGGCCATATCAGAGCCAAATGTCCTTTCGACCCCCGGATCAGGGAAACAGTAACAAGATCCTTTGCAGATGCCCTGAGTCCGACTGCACAGCCACGAACCCCTACCCCCGAACAACCTCCAATGGAGAAGAGCATCCCCACCGAAAAAGGAAACATGACCTCCGTGAAAGGGAGAAATCATACGTCGAACCCGGACGAAGAAACAAAACCAGTCCCCCCTGGTGGAGGAACAGCCATCCACCCGTGTTCTGAATCGAGGACCGACGCAGGAACCGAGGACTTTGACGAAGACACATCAGCCAGATGCTCACAGTGGTCGATGGACTCCTCTCAACTCCAGAGGGAGTTGATAGACTGCGAGCACAGAGACAACCCTAAAATGGAAAGGATCATCGCGTTGGTATTCAAAAGGACAGGTATTTCTAGACAGACCAAGGTCTGTCAACAGCTTGAACTGCACCCCGACCTGGAGTATAGGAACTCCTGCTACCTCAAGAAATGTGAAGATTTTAAGTCAAAAAACTTCAGAGACCTCAATACCGACCAAAAAAGAGCACTCAACGATAAAATAGGTAAATTGAGGCTAATTCAAACGGAGATCGACAAGTATAATGCAGTATACGATGCAATCCTCGATGCAAAATACCCGACGAAGAAGAGACCGCTTAATGAGTCTCAACACGACTCTGACCAACAAGAAGACAGGAACCTAGATAAAAAACCTAAGCCCACTCCCCTAGAAGTGAAGACAACCCCTCCGCCATGTATAGAAATGGAAATAGACGGAAAGACTACAACAGATAGATCGACTCCTTCTTGATGCCCCTTCCCCTCTGACTGCTGACTGTATTTGCCTCTTTTAACTGAATAAAGACCGTTTTTCGCGTTATATATATATATATATATATATATATATATATATATATATATATATATATATATATATATATATAGATATTTACTCTTCATTGTTGGCTTTTTATCTTACATTCATTCTTCATTGTTGGCTTTTTATATTACATTCACCCTTCATTGTTGGCTTTTTATCTTACATTCACTCTGTTGGCTTTTTATATTACATTTACTCTTCATTGTTGGCTTTTTATCTTACATTCACTCTTCATTGTTGGCTTTTTATATTATATTTACTCTTCATTGTTGGCTTTTTATCTTACATTCACTCTTCATTGTTGGCTTTTTATATTATATTTACTATTCATGGTTGGCTTTTTATATTACATTTACTCTTCATTGTTGGCTTTTTATCTTACATTCACTCTTCATTGTTGGCTTTTTATCTTACATTCACTCTTCATTGTTGGCTTTTTATATTGTATTTACTCTTCATTGTTGGCTTTTTATCTTACATTCAATTTTCATTGTTGGCTTTTTATATTATATTTACTCTTCATTGTTGGCTTTTTATCTTACATTCATTTTCCATTGTTGGCTTTTTATATTACATTTACTGTTCATTGTTGGCTTTTTATCTTACATTCACTCTTCATTGTTGGCTTTTTATCTTACATTCATTCTTCATTGTTGGCTTTTTATATTACATTCACTCTTCATTGTTGGCTTTTTATCTTACATTCATTCTTCATTGTTGGCTTTTTATATTACATTCACTCTTCATTGTTGGCTTTTTATCTTACATTCACTCTGTTGGCTTTTTATATTACATTTACTCTTCATTGTTGGCTTTTTATCTTACATTCACTCTTCATTGTTGGCTTTTTATATTATATTTACTCTTCATTGTTGGCTTTTTATCTTACATTCAATTTTCATTGTTGGCTTTTTATATTATATTTACTCTTCATTGTTGGCTTTTTATCTTACATTCACTCTTCATTGTTGGCTTTTTATATTATATTTACTCTTCATTGTTGGCTTTTTATCTTACATTCACTCTTCATTGTTGGCTTTTTATATTATATTTACTCTTCATTGTTGGCTTTTTATATTACATTTACTCTTCATTGTTGGCTTTTTATCTTACATTCACTCTTCATTGTTGGCTTTTTATCTTACATTCACTCTTCATTGTTGGCTTTTTATATTGTATTTACTCTTCATTGTTGGCTTTTTATCTTACATTCAATTTTCATTGTTGGCTTTTTATATTATATTTACTCTTCATTGTTGGCTTTTTATCTTACATTCATTTTCCATTGTTGGCTTTTTATATTACATTTACTGTTCATTGTTGGCTTTTTATCTTACATTCACTCTTCATTGTTGGCTTTTTATCTTACATTCATTCTTCATTGTTGGCTTTTTATATTACATTCACTCTTCATTGTTGGCTTTCTATCTTACATTCATTCTTCATTGTTGGCTTTTTATATTACATTCACTCTTCATTGTTGGCTTTTTATCTTACATTCACTCTGTTGGCTTTTTATATTACATTTACTCTTCATTGTTGGCTTTTTATCTTACATTCACTCTTCATTGTTGGCTTTTTATATTATATTTACTCTTCATTGTTGGCTTTTTATCTTACATTCAATTTTCATTGTTGGCTTTTTATATTATATTTACTCTTCATTGTTGGCTTTTTATCTTACATTCATTCTTCATTGTTGACTTTTTATATTACATTTACTACAGTAGAACTCCTCAAATTCGGAAATCCTGAAATTCGGAAACTCCCAAATTCGGAAAGTATTGTAATGTTTTTTTTACATACAAAAAATCAATTTTCACATGCTTTTATTTTGTTGATATTTCAACATTATTTTATTTTATTTTATTTTATTTACTTTTACTTTTGCTTTGCTTTCATTTTATTTAATTTAATTTTTATTAGTAATTTATTTTTAATTTAAGTGTTTAATTAATTTACTTTTACCGATTATTTATAATCGCTAATTAGGGGTTTATCCCCTTTTTTAAAAGCTTAAATAAATCAACAGTTTCATTTGACCTTTGTGCTTAGTTTAGGATATTGTCCAATAAGAAGGCAGCATTATTACGTCATAAGCCATTCACGCATTTTTTATTGCAAAGTTGATTCACCTAAAGTTCTAATTATCAAACATTTTCAGACATTGTAAGTTCCAAATTCTTTTATTCAACTCTCAATTTTTTGCATTTACAAGTTTGTTCTTCAACAAAATGGCATCCAAAGAGGAGCGGCAAAAACGAGGCAAGTACCGAATTCTTAAGCTTGGTGAAAAGTTAGATGTTCTTAGTGACATTAAAAAAGGATTAAGCTATACAACGATAATGCAAAAGTATAAAATTTCTAAGACAACTGTTTATGATATAAAAAGGTCTGAGCTTAAACTTACAAAGTTTGTTGATTCTACCGAAAAAAGATGTCAAAAAGTTTTCTCAAGTAAAAAATCCGTTATACGAAAATGTTGATAAAGCAGTTAACATCTGGTACGAAAGTCAGAGATTATCAGGGGTTCCTATTCGTAGTATTGAACTCCAAACAGCAGCCAGTCATTTTGCATCAAAATTGAATAATCCCACTTTTAAAGCTAGTGGTGGATGGTTGTCACGATACAGAGCCAGACATAATTTGAAAAATAAAAAAGTTGTCGGGGAAGCATTGAGTGCTGACGAAGATGCAGTTGAAGCTGTTTTGAGTGAAAAAATGGAAATCAGCAGTTCTGATGATAGTTCCTCAACTTCTGAAGACAGTTTGGAGCCGGATGTTCCCAGATGCGAAGCGTTGAAAAGTTTGGATGTTGCATTAAAATATTTGGAAAAGCGCACTGAACCAGAAATGCTTGCAAGCTACAACACCATCAATAGTCTTC